ACCATGCCATAACTCAAGTTATTTCGTTAATGATATGCAACATACATATGGTAAAATTAAATATTGCAGTTATGTTTATCAAAAGAACCGAATCTACTGGAAATACAAAAAAGATGTCTAAGGAGAAAATGTAGAGCTCATTTTTCTGATTACGGATATGTACTTAAGTCAGTAAGCCGAAAAACCCGAGTTATTGCACTTATCGTAAGGACGGCAGTACTGTCGCTGATATTACTTCATACGTTTTTCCGTATTTTTACAACTTTAGCAGTACACCTAAATTTAACCAACTACTGCTGGCCGCACCCAGTTCTAGCCGGTTAGAACTAGCTGTAACCGAATTTCGGCTTTTAGCCGTAACATATACAAAAAATTTAAAATAGATCAATAATACATTTGATAGACATTTATTTTTATATCAATTGCTATTATTTAATATTTTTTGACTTGCTTACTTATGGGTGAGAATCTCAAAATGATTTTGGCGGTTTTAAGAATTTTATGTATTATCGTGGATATCATAGATTTAGTATATACTTAGATTGGCAATATAAAAGAGAAAGGGCATAGCACATGCTTACGTTAGAACGAGATAGAATGGCTAGACCATACACGTACACGCTATAAGCCTGTATCAGGCTGACGTCAATCGTTAACGAAACAAATCCCGCTTATTTTCGCGATATCTTAGATTTTGAAGTATTAATAAGTATTTAAAAGGTGCGATTAAATATGGTGAAGTGTGTCGTACCTGAATGCAGTTCATCGAGAAAAGAAAATCGACAAAATTGCACATCAAGTACAATTAAAAGGTTTAGCACTCTAAATGCAATATTTCAGAACTAGTACAAATGTTTTATTCACAAATGGATATGGAAAAATATAGCATTTTATTACGATAATGCTCTAAATGCGTGAGAATTATATTAAAAATAATAACAAATACGTGAATTCCCGCTATTTCTGATCAAATTTTTGTAGGGATTGACACTATCAATATCATCCTATCGATAACATGTTTATAATAGGCAAAGGCACATGTAGCAAGCACTCAACAAAAATGTTTTTCTCATAGAAGTGCACAATGAGTAAAGCCGCGTTCTGGATCAATACCCACATTATTTATGCCCATGCGTATTTTCTTAATCATATATTTTACTGTAAATATTGAAGCCGGTACGCAAAGCATCGTCATATGTCTACAGAGATATATTGCCAGTACCCAGTAGCTCAACTGCAAACGTTTCTGTTATAAACAATTTCCCGAGAAAGAAAAAATGAAGAAAACTATTGATATTCTTCGGAGAAGACTATATATGAAAAAAAAAACTGAAAAATTTAAGAGCACAAAAAACGGGCTAGTAAAGTGGAAATATTGTCTCAAGTGATAAAAACCTAGAAAGGCTTCCCTCACTTCAAAATAACATTAGTGCTGTAATACAATCTTGTTCAAACGATTTGTTGCAGCATCTCATCGAAATTGTGATTAAGAAAAAACAAAATAAAAATATTAAACAAGAGTATGATACGCAAATAAAGACATTTGCCCTAAATTTACACTTTTATAGCCCTCGGGCTTACAGTTACATGAGAACGAAATTTGACCTGTGCCTACCACATCCTCGAAAACTACGAGGCTGGTACCAAAATGTAGGCTGTAAACCAGGCATCACTAAAGAACCCGTAGAAACCATGAAAGCTATATAAATAATATATATATATATATATATATAAGTAAAGAAAAAAAAAGATTTGGTCATCGCCCTTATGTTCGACGAAATGTCTATCCCTGATCACATTAAATTTGACGGTCGTAATGATCATGGCTATGTAGATGTGAGTAGTGGTATACATGGAGATCAAGTAGACAAGGCTAAAGAGGTGTTGGTAATCATAGCAGTGGCAATGAATTCTTTTTTGAAAATTCCAATTGCTTCTTTTTTTGGAAGAGGATTTACTGCTTTACATAAAGCAACACTTCTAAAGCAATGTTGAAAATATTGTAGCTAAATGTGACAAAGTGTATGAATATATTAAAAATTTAAAATATAACAACTAAATCAGCGATAAAGCCAATTGCTTGCCTTTGGAGAATATTAGTATGCTCAATATACGAAGATCGTGTACCATAGATACAATAAATACTACAATTCGCCTTAGCGCAATGACGATGAGAAACGACGATGTGGCTATTGGTCCAAGTCAAATTGATAATGAAGATTCTGATTTCGTATCATCTATGCCATGGATACCTGAAGGTATACAATCTGTAGTTAAGTCTATTGTTCAATACATATGTGGTTACATGGTGAAAAAATCGCAAATAAAATTAAATGCGAATCCTGTGTAAATGTACTCCACGGTGATGTTAAGGAAGGTTCACTTATAAACATGAAAGACGTACGTTTATCCCTCTCAAGACGTTTAGGAGATAGGTATTCGTTCGGATTAAGTTTTCCGAAAACATGTGAAAGGAAAAATTGTAAACGAAAATATGTTTCGAAAATTAGTAAACGAATGCCTTGCGTCCTGCAAAAAAGTTTTTAACACACTTGACATACATATGTACGATTCGTACGCAATATCAAACCCTTAATTACTAAAAGAACCTCTAAATAAACACTTAATTATTAAATTAATAATCGAAGCTTATTTGATTATTAGATTGAAGTATATACATTTTTACAATAAATTAGTTATTTTGGTGAAAAAAAAAATCACAAACATTTGTTTGTAGTTTTAGTTTTATGTCCTCAAACATAATGAATATCGATACAGAACGCTATGTCTGTGTCATTTTATGACACAGACATAGCGTTCTGTATCGATATTCGATAATTGAAGTTGATACATGGCGCAGCACTATTCTTGTCGCACACATGTACATTTCATTCACACCGGTACATTTAGTTTTTAGTCTCATCCTAATCACGCCGTCGCCAATCTAATGTATACCATATCTATGGTGGATATTGATGTTAATTATAATTATTTTATAAATAGGGGTGAAAGTATTGATTTGCCATTTTAATTAAGTGGCCACTTTTAATTTCAAATTAAATCTGCATGATCCACGATTATCGATTAAAACTTATTTGACACAAATAAACCAAAATTCACTAATTATATGACGTTCTGTTGTTTGACTTTCAATTGTTTTTAAATTTAGTATTTGTGTGGGGGATCTGACATGAGAACCTCAAAAATTTGAATTATTTTCCAATATAAGCCCCGAAATTATTCTAACGCAGTAAGACAGCTCGCAATATCAATGCTACTTTGAGAGAGGACACGACTAATGAACGCACTGTGTTATTGAGTTAATTGCTTTCGTGGTAAAAACTTCGAATAAGGAATGAGCCACGAGGAAGACCAGACACTAAGGATTAATAACGAAGAATTAAAAGTCCTCTTGGAAGCTGATCCTTATTAATATTTTTTATACGATAAGTTATCGAATCAAAATACAGATGCGTTGTCAGCCGTGAAGACTAAGATGGAATGCCTTTTTTCTAGTAAAAAGAGTCTCCGGTTCTGTATACTCACCATACGAAACACAGCAGCATTAAGCCGCTATTTTACGCTGGTATTCTGTGAGAGCGAGGACCTTTCCTGGTTGAGCCGACCCATTTGTGCTACAACTATATACAATTAATATAGTTGTACAAAACTAAGCAACTACGAAGGAATTAGTGTCAAGGTTTGAAATTGGTATCACAAAATGTGTGAGAAATGGGTTCCTCATGAATTTGCTGATGTGCATAAAGGAACTTGCCTTGCTTGATAAGTAGGCAAAGAAATGAAGATTTTTGAACAGAATTATAACGACAGTCTTATACCGAAACCGAGCCCTAAAGTGAAGCTCACCCATAGAAAACTAATGGCAACCGTTTTGTGGTCAATTCATGGTATAATTCACTATAGCTTAATATTTTAAAGTATTTCGCACAACGGTAGCAAAACTCTCAGAGAAACAACCCGACTCGTCAATTGATCTTCTTCATTATCGCGCCATGATAACGCAAGACCACATACTTCCATCAAACCGTATTAATATTACAAGATCTGGACCAGGATCTCTCTTACTTGCTAGATCTAGCACCAACTGATTGACGTTTTATCCGCAATGGGGTCACTTTCCTGCAAAACATTTTGTTCTGGGGAAGTGGTAGAAAATGCTATTAATGATTGTAGAGTTCAGATCCCCAGAATTCTATCGCAAAAAGGTGTTTAAACTTTTCAATATAAATGATAATTTCATACTTTAACTCCTAACAATCAAAGACGTATTAAAAAGATAGACAGGTTGCACACTAACATTTGTATTTTAAAGTGGCGCAGGTAGTACTATATCTACGTACAGTTATTTATTATGACACGTTGCGCTAACAAAAAGAGACAAATGATACGGCATACCTATCGTTAGAAAAAGATGAATATACATCATTAGTTGCGTATTGATTGCTGCTGAGCGCTCATTGGTGCAAGCGCGTGACATACCGATATGGAAATGAACACACTAGCTAGCGTCAAAGTTTACACTAGCGGTTAGTGTTGAAATAATAAAACCAATTATGAACAAAATATAAATATAGATGATATTCAAAATATTAATGAGACGTTTTTCTTGTCTCTAACAGTTGCCGTGTAATTTATGCAACACCTAAAAACACAGGAAGGCATATTTACCACGAATAACTAGAAGATTTACGCGCTGTAGCGAAGGTATAACCGCGACGTGAGAGCGTGCCCGACTGAATGCGAGTCGGGCAATTACCTGACTTTCGTATTGCCATTTTAGAGCGAGTATGACGTATCTATACTTTAAAAACATCTTAGCTAACAATATATTATTATCTTACAAGTTTTTCAGTGCTAACAATTTTTAGGTGCATACTGCAAGCATACCTAAATAGGTGAAGCTTTAAAAATTATAGGGCCAGTATCGCAAAAAACAACAGATACGTTTCGCAATTAATTAGATGCTTTATAAATTGCAGGATATGGGTAATGAAGAACAAGTAAGGCAATATCTAAATTGCGTGTCAAAACATGTTGATGGCTTGGTTTGTGCCAAATGTGGGTTGGTTCGTAAATATGTCAAGGCGTATTTGCAACATATTAAGAAGTGCGATGGAACTGTGGTAAGCACTTTATCTAATTTTTTCCTATGTTTTTCATTTTTCACTATCCTTCTATGGTCATTGGATCTGTTGTTTTGAGTATTTTGTTACGACAGTCAGATGCGTGTCGCATCGTTTGCGATGTAGCGATTTTGTACGAAGCGATTGTACACTTCCTGCGTGCGTTGAAGAATAAATTAATGTATCCTTATAATTATTTCATGATGCACCCTGTTCATAATCTTTTCTTGCTTTTTTATTTCCTTTTTGTATCTTTTCTGGAAGCAATTTCTGTGTAGCAATAACACCGCCTTTTACTTCTCTTTATGTATCTGTTTTCTCTTTGATGTGCAATAAAGAGTAGTGAATTATATAGTACTGCAAGCAATGGTTGAAGATGATGAAAATCGGTGTCCAGTTTAAAGCCAGAGCATAACAAATGCTTGTGTCTGACGTCTGCATTGCGGTACCGGTGAAGTTATATAGCCAAACAACAAGAAAAAAAGGTCTTTGGCCCTTCATCGTTCAAATGACAAAAGCGTATCGCGTAAAAGTTGTAATTTTATGGGTTCCTCTTCAGACCATATACCGGACTCATGCATTGGTGCTGCTCGTGCACAACTTCATACACTCAAAAATCATCGTTAACGGTGTCTTTTTTGACAAAAAAACAATTGTATTGTATGCGGCTCGGATGCAGTTGTTGTGTATTTGAAAGTTATCACCATTGTGCAAAAAACGATCGTTATTATAATTTTAGTAGACTCCTAATTTTTATGGCTTTAGCGAATAAAAATATTGTGTCCATTAACCGCAAACTTCTGTTCTTTTCGCAGCAAGTGGACGAAGTGTTAAACGACACACAAAATTCCGAAATAACTTCAGATTTTATTTTTGATGAGAATAATGTAATTGCTACGAGTATCGTCAAATGTGGAGTTTGCCAAAAGGAAATAGAAGGGAAGCAATGGCTAAATCATATAAAAACAGAACACAATTACTTAGCATGGATAGAAGGGAAGACGCCTTTAGTGAGTTTATGCTGATAGTGTTAATTTTATTTTGCTTCTGTGACAAAGTTGGTTATATTTTGAGGTTAAATCTAATACATTAAAATCTATATAAAATAGGTCTATATAATAGAAAGTAATTTATTTCTTCTTTTTAGGATTTAAAGAATAAAAAGCAAGTCAAAAATCATTTGCTATCAATAATCAAACAAATCGGATGTCTGACCTGTGCTAAGTGTGGAATTAAACGTAAACATCTTAAATCGTATTTACATCATATTAGAAAGTGCGACGATAGTGCGGTGAGTGAATATTTTTTATAATTTAATCTTAAGAGTAGTAGTAGCATGAAGCAATTACAAATATAAGACGCCATAAGTAACTGTACACTGTGATTTTAAGTAGGTCCTGACGTCATCATAGTAGATGTGGCTATAGTTAGTATACTGTCAACATTCGTCCTGTGCGCTGTGTTGAAAATATCAAATCGGTGTATTTTCGTAGTATTAAGAAGAAAAGGATGAAGTGTTGTGTTTTATAGTGTAAAAACTACTCAGATAGACGCTCTGATGCTATGGGTGGCTTCACATTTCATTTGTAAGTAATTTATGTATGTAGAGCTCACTATTGGTAAAATAATCATACGAAGGTGCTGAAATTTGTTTTGCATTCAGACATAAAGAAATTTTAATCGCCAAAATACAGGGTATTTTTGAAACGCCCCCGAAAACGAAGACAGACAGTAGACCTCCTCAACAGTACCAACTATACCTTTGATGATGGGTGAAATATAAAATCGATCCTGATGAAAAAAAAATCATCTTTTCCACAACGTTTTATTAGCTTTATTCATTCTCTATCATGTTAGTACAGCTAAATGAAACGATAATTTTATTTAAAAAAATCATGAAAATACTTAAACATAAAACCAGCAGTGGAATTTTTAATTAGTTCAATTTATTAATTACTGAATTACAATCAGCTGACTAGGGGTCATTGTACGTGCGAAGGCCGAATTCGCGCCCACTAGCCTAGTGGGTCATACCACAATACCTAATAATTTATCACACTTGTCTAAATACCTAAGTTATCTACTTAACCTACTATTTTGCCACTGTGCTTGTCTCCACGTAGCCAATTCGAATTCACAGGTTAAATAACCCAAATAACTGGTTCGAATCTCCGCTAATGAAAAAAATACTTAAATGATATGTAACCTAGGTCATGCGTTTTTATTTATCATGTAGGTATGTCTATTATTTAATGTATTCAGTTTGTACCTATTCAGATCAGTTCAGTACTAAGTTACTTAAAAAAATTAGGTATGAAACAGCTTACCGCTCTAAATCCTCCGTGGTGACGACGTGCTCAATGAAACCAGGCACACGTTGTTGCTGGTCTAATAACCAACGGCAGAAAACTCGCCGGCGGTCGTGATCGCCGGGAACTAAAGCTTGCACTTTGTACACTTTGTATGGGCGCATTCGGTTACACTTTAACACTTGTGAACTGTACAGTATGACACACTTGTTCCATCCCGACGCCTTAACAATTTAGCGATACTTCGTGTCCCTAGGTTCGGATTCCGGCGAGCGACATCTAAAATGCGCTCCTCTGAGTGAACAGCCACTTGAATTCCACCTCTTGCCGCCACCAGAGCAATGGGCTGATTTCCCAACACTCGCTGAAATGCTGCTGTTATCAGACGAGGGTCAGCTGGATGTCGAGCGGTCGGAAATTTCTCTCGGTAAATTCGCAATGCATGCGAAGCATTCCCGCGAGCTTGTCCAAGGCACATTAACATGTTGCCGTATTCACGAGCACTATAAACGTACACGTTAGGCAATATAAAAACAAAACAAGAAACTTAAAACGTAACAACAAGAATAATATCATTAAGTAATAAATAACAAGTAATAACGACAATAATTTAATAAACAAAACAATTGAACTGTCTCTTGTGATAGTCAACACGGAACTGTCTCAAAAACTAAAATTAATAATCAAACATGCTAAAACAAATGCGCACAATGTAAAGTCTTTGTGAAGCACTGGAACCATCTACACACCGTTTAAGCGTTATGTATGTTAAAACATCGCCAATGTTTGTTTAATTTATAAGTTTTATCCCCACGACTATTCTTCATATGGAATTTAAAAGTTATGGTTGTCATTTTTAATACAATTACACAATCAATTGTACCCTGACGCAACAAGCAGTTCTTTACTACAAAAATTATTGAAATTAATAAACGTACCTAATTGGATACTCAGTACTCACACAATTACAAACACTATTTCATCGTTATTTTTGATTTTGTATAAGAAAATAGAAATGAAAAATAAAACTAAAAAATGAAACTTCGTAACACAAATTTGATGGATATATTGCTCAGTGCCCAGGTTCAAGGCCAGCGTTTTTACGTGGCGGGGCCTATAATAGTTTGGCGCCCGCGAGGATATTGACCCTATTGTCTTGCTGCTGTTAGCTGATGTTATTTTTAAGTTTCATTACCGGTTTTTTGTTTAAGTATTTTCATGATTTTTTTAAATGAAACTATCGTTTCATTTAGCTGTACTAACATGATGAAGCGTGAATAAAGTTAATAAAATGTTGTGACTAGATGATCTTTTTTTCCTCGGGATCAAGTTTATTTGTGACCCATGTGCTAAGGTGTAGTACCTACTATCATCTATCTTCGTTTTCGGGAGCGTTTCACAAACACCCGGTATTATTTTTATAGTTTATAATCATTTTGTGAGCAGGCCGCCATCTATCGTCAAGATAGCTAAACTACATTGCAACATCGATATGGCACTATTCGAGTAGTTTTACTATTTATCGGTGGATGTGGATAGCGTAAAGTGGGCGGGGTTAACATCCCCTCACCCCGCAAATTGTGACCCGTGGTTACATAGTGAAATCTAATTACAAAACCTCCTCTTTGTATTTGCTTCATGAGTAGTACTACACCTAGCACCGTGTGAGAAGAGGACTGCCCTAGTGATGAGCAGTTAGGAGCTGGTGCACACTAGAATTGCACGCAACCTTGATGGCCGAGGGGCTATGGATAGTCAATATGCTAAAAGGCTGTTATTAATTTATAAAAAAATTACATCAAGGAGACTTGTATGCTGCTACAAGTCGTAACGAGTAAACTCTCGCTTGATGATGAGATCTAAAATCGTCTCGGCTAGGCTGGCACGATGTTTAAGAAACTTAGTAAAATTGTGTGGAGCAACTACCATATAACTATTAAAACCACACTTTTGTAAGTATACAAGATCTGATTGACTTTTGCCGAACAAAGGTGTTTCATATTGCGCAGCTTGCAGGTATATCCGTCATAATAAAGCTTAGGCGAATACGATTGCTGGGACATATGTGTGGCATGAATACTGATTGCTTACCTTGTTGTTGAGCAAGGTTGCATTTGCTGGTCTTGAGACAACGTGATAGCAGTGCAAAGGTACTAGGGGCATTAAATATTGCACCCGGAACATGCTTCTAATCGAGAAGTGGATGAGCCCTAGTTGCGTTCGAACGGAGATCCCGGCACCCCTTGTATACGTTGATGGTGACCACTGTGGGCATTTAGCCAGTAAGAGCCCTGCATAACTTTACCGTCACTCCCGCAGTAGACGGTATCCATGAGGATTTTCCTACGAAAATCTGTCTAAGCTGTTTCCAGGAGGAAGAGGAGAGAACGCAAGAGAGGGGGTGAAAGGAGATCTCTCCTGCGTTTCAAGAGTTTCTTTTTGGGGCTCTATTATCACGCACGTTTTGCCTCCGACTTTTACTTGTCGTTTTTTTATTTTAAGTATTATGCGATGTGAAACTCAAAATCAATTGCGTTTATAGGCCTACGCCTTACGCCTTTCAGAATTGAACATTATACATTTTTGTTTTAGGGATTGAGTATTGACTCTGAAGATCAGTTTAATGATTCATGTGCGTCTGATAATGCTGATAATACTGTAGATGAACAAAATATATTCGATAGTGAGTTTATTCAAAAAGGCACCGTTAAATGTGGAGTTTGCCAAAAGGAAGTGGATGGCGAGCAATGGCTTGATCACATACAAAGGGAACACAATTATTTAGCTCGAGTAGAAGGAAAACCACCTCTAGTAAGTATACTTAGTAAATAAATTGAAAAAGTTATTTAACCCTTTCGCTGTCCCGTGCACTACATATAGGTCATTGCTATTGTCTTACTATTGTGTCTGAAAACCGGACAGTGAAAGTGTTAATATTTACTTATAAATAAACATTTTAGCATTTTCGTTAAACATTTTTCAATTTAGCGTGTTAATTTTATATCAATACGAATTTACAGAATATGGATAATTCCGAAGAAGTACATGCATTCTTGTATACACTCTCCAAAAAAATTAACGGTCTAATCTGCAAAACTTGCGGACTTAAGCGTAAATATGTAAAATCATTTTTGCAGCATATAGATACTTGTACTGAGCATACAAATATTGGCATCCTTAATGAAGGTATGTGTGATTTATAGTCAATTTAATATAATTTTTATGTGTTAAAAATAATAGCTGTGATATGTTTGTTTCCCAGATAATTTATTGGAATGTGCTGTTTGTTCCGAAAAAGTACCACCACAAGATTGGAAATCTCACGCAATGAAAAATCATTACAATATTGCTTGGGCTGTCGGCATGGAACCGATCGTAAGTTTTATTACTTTTTTTTAATTTGGTTTATTATAGCATATTATGCATTTATAATAAAAACTATCTAAATTTTAGGATTTACGGAACTCGTACGCAGTGGAAAAATATCTAAAAGATTATAAACAAGTATACAAGAATTTAATATGCAAAATTTGTAAGACAAGCAGAGCCTCGTCCGCCGGATTTTATGCACATATAATAACATGTGGCAAGACAGAAGAAGTAAATTTAATATTTTTACTTAACAAATATTTACAAATATTTGAAGTTTAAATAATCTGATCATATTTTTTTTTCTCACGCAGGAAACAGAATATTTTAAATCCTATTGCGACATTTGCAATTGTAAGTATTTATGCATTTATAAAAGTCAGCATTTAAAAATGCATAGGGATCAAGAGCTTGCCAAAGAAAGGAAGTTGCAAGCAGCAGAGGAGAAAACGAAAAGACCTATGGATGGCGAAGACTATGAAAATACACAAGGTCGAAGAAAAGCTGCACAAAAGTGAGTATTGAGAAAATGGGATTTTTCAAAGAAGTGTTGGGTTTACAAAATTTTCTATTCTCTAATAATAATAAACCATACAGATAAAACTATACAGACACTCATAATAATAATAATATCATTTATTCGCTAAACATGGTATATTAAGGATGACAAATTATGATAGAAGTATTAAAATTTCACACTCAACATTTATGTATAATTAAATTTTTTGCCTTTTTTTCATTATGATTTTAATATACTGGCATGTAAGTATGACGGCAGCGTAAGAGAATCCACAACTCTATTTCTTTTTTTTGGTTTCGTAAAAGGAGACTAAAGGAAATGCCAGAAGAATCTTACGGCTTCCGATAGAGGGCGATGCAATCAGACCACGAGGGGTAACTGCGAAAAAGGTGCGATGATCGTCGGTCCGCAAGCCAAGCGTTTGACATTTGGAGCAAATCCCTGCCCATGGCCAGCATGACCAGCAGTTGAATATAATACAATTTTATTGTAATTGCGTAAAATTTGTAAATTACATTTAGTTTTTTTAAGACTTTGTTATAGCCTTCATTATAAAAAAATAAATAGATCCTAAAACTCTATACATTACAAAACTAGTAAAATTTACTGCTAGAGTTACTATCACATCAGTAATTATCATAAAATTCATAATATATAACATCTGTTTTCTTATATTTTTTTTTATTACACATTTTTACAGGATAAAAAGCAAGTATATGCTTACTATATTACGTATACAATTGCACTGAATATAATTGTTGATGATAAAATGAAAACAAAACTTCCATCTTCAATATTTCCAAAAGTTGTCATGATATTAATATAACTTCTACTGAATTTTTATTATATGCAAGTCAATGAAGGTTAATAACTTTCCGCTCATCGGATGTCGCTACCTGAGGTGAAGGTGTTTGTTACAGTGTCAGCATAAGTGGAAAGTTGCGTTTTAAATTAAAGTTTTTGGTTTCAAGTGTTTGTATGTATTCATATCTCTCTTTTAATCGTTTTTTACTTTTTGGGAATATCCATAGGTTGACTTATTCATTTTTATCTAATTAATATAAAATATAACATTATTTTAGAGAGACATAATTTTTGAAGTGAAAACTTCTTTAGAATCGTTCTTATTTGAAACTCGATAAAACGAAAAGCGACACTAAAATGAGACAAACATATACATCTATAGTACCCCGTTTACACTCTTGCGCGAGCGGCGAAGCGAGTCGCGAGGTGAGCCACGAGGGGCGAGTGTAAACGCTAGCTCGTGGCTCGCCTCGCAGCTCGCCTCGCCACTCGCAACGCTCGCGTCAGATGCGGTTTTTTGGGCACGAGGCAAAGGGCCTCGCGAGAGACGCGAGCGTGCTGTTTACACTCGCGCTCTCGTTTCAGTTTGTTTACGGCGCCCTTCCATAGTAACATTCGAATTGCTTTTGTTTTAAAATTACAATTTTAACAAAATAATATTATTTAATCTTGAACAATAGGTACTAGCAATTTATATAAAATTATGAAACTGGAAAGGTTCAGTTTTGATGAATAGATATCATCCACCATATTCTTCCTCAACGACGTATGTTTTTAATTTTCATCTCTTTAATATGGTCAAGCATCGATAAATACTTATTAAGGCAAGAGTTGATGGCGCTATTATTTCGACGTATTTTATCGTTGCTGGATCAACGCAAACTAAACGCATCGCGCGAGTGTAAACAGCCACTCGTTACCTCGCAACGAGGCGAGGCGCGAGGTGATAGTCTAAACCCGGTATAGGATTTAGCCTGCGAGGGAATGATATAGAGTACAATGTAGTAAGTGACAGTAGCCTAATAGCAGGGTAGGAACCGCGAACTCAAAAGGTTGTGGGTTCGAATCCGCCATTCGACTACTGTCGTGAGGTAATATTAGTAATCTTAATAGCATTGCTAATATTTTATTTTAATATAGTGTCTCCTTTTATCTCGGTCTCCTCTTTGTGCGGTGCTTTAAAGATGGTTAATTTAAATTTTATCTGTAAAAATAAACAATTAAAAAATAATAAGTTTATTAAATTAAATAATACCATTAGCGAATAAAATTGTCATATCCAATCCATTCATATGACAATCCATAGTTTCATTACTTCAGGCCATCTAGCGTATATTTTACGTACTGCCTTGAGAGTCTAATCAATTTTTGTTCAATAAAATGATTTTTCCTATAGAATGAGGTAGATGGCGCTTTTATAATGTATTTTTCTCAAATGAAAATATTTTTTGATATATTACACTAAAATGGCTATACATGTTTAAAAATAAGGGTTGCAATATTTATTTGCCATAAAATTAAACTTTTATCTCATATTTTATGAAGCACTTGTGATTGAAAATTATTATAATAAATACATTATTTGCCGAGAAATCTTTTGAAACGCTATTTTTATTTTACCATAAGAAATTAATCACGCTTCAAGATCAGCCAATCTTGTCAGTGACACTTCTGACATATGGCAATACAGCAGGTACATGGAGTATAGAGTAGAAGGAGAACCATCTCATATAGGGGGACAGTTGAAAAAGTGTCCAACTGTATACTGAAAATAGAGGTTCCAAAACCTACCACAATAGCGCTGGCATCTGAAAAACTACGAAATGAATATAGCTGTTGTAGACGGAGTGAAGTCAGTTGAATTCAAATATTTAAAAATTTTCATGACTAGAGTAGTTAGTAAAATGTCAGTATATAAAACCTCAACTATTTACGTAGTACAAAACCAGGCGGATTGGTCGGTCCTTGTTTATTTCTCCATCTTATTCTAATTACTATTGGCGCTTTTTTTTAATTTATCCTATGCTACCGCTGCGCCACCCTTCTTGGATGCGTTTTTACGGACACTTTTTCATGTACAGAGATGGCCCTCCTTCTACTCTATACTCCATGATCAGGCACTCGTTCGACTGTGACCGGCTTCACTCGTTCACTGTGCGTAGGCGCGGGACCGGAAGCTTATTGTCGTGCAAAATTGCTTGACGTGTTGAAGCTCGGTGGCCAGGTGTTTACTGTCACAGATCCCTCGTGCTCTCTGAAACAAAGATTTACCCACGGTAGCTAACTGTGAAGGATGGTGATGAGAATCATAGTTTAAATATCTATCTGTATGGGTCTTTTTTCTATACACAGTGTAGTTCAAGGTGTTATCAGGATTCCGAATTACTGAAAACCTTTAAAATAAGTTAATGTACGCGATAAAATCCGTAAAATTAGTTTTATTTAAATGTGTAGTGTTCGCTTAAATGTACGAAATCATTAGATACATTTTATTTATTTTCCGCTGTAGACTAATTTCAATCGAACATAAATGAAATCGGAACGTGTAATTTATACTTTAAAAATCATAGGTTAAACAACTTTTGTTACCTATTTATGTTATAAAATATATAGTCTATAATTTATAGGATACATAAAAAGAATTTTACTGTGCAAATAATCAAGATATTAAAATGCAAAAATAAAAGTGTAGCCGTGGTAGCTCAGATGGTTAGCGCATATTGTAAGTTTCACAGTACCCGAGAAACCAGGGTTCGATCCCCGCCGGCACCAATAAAATTGTTAATTGCAATTTTAAGTGCTGATTTACCACGTGCTCGGCGGTGAAGTTAAACATCGTGAGTAAACCTGCATGTCTGACAAATAAGAAAAAAAAATATATTTCGAAGACATGTGAAGTTCACCAACACGCATTGGTGCAGCGCGGCGGAACTTTTTTTTTTGCCCTAAAACCCTCTCAGAAATGAGAGGAGGCCTGTGCCCAGCAGTGGGACGTGCATATAGGCTCTAACTTTTTAGAAGTTCCTAAACTGTAATTGAAATATAATGCGTAAAATGGATCTCTGATTCATTTTTTAAATTCCGCCATCTAGTGATAATCAAAGTAATTAATATTACATTAACTTGGAAAATCTGTACCATACATACACTTGATGCAGTTACTTTCTATGACCTATTTTAATTTAACGTACTTTGTTATTACGCTATTGAAACTGAAATATCCTACTCCTTATACTCTCCATTTGTCTCATCCTCTCGAAGTTTAATTTTCTGAAGCTTTCACTTCTACCGCGTGTCTGCACATAATATGTTTTTTACAATTATATTTCCGTCCATGAAATCTGTCAAATATTTCACCTCATTCCAAAGTGGTGCCGCCCTGGTGGCAGGAAAAACAATTGTGGATTCATGAGTCATTACATAACTTTTACTTTTCGAAAGTAAAATCTTAACAAAATTAATACGAGGGCGGCACTGAAATTTTCGGGAATCAAGGAAGTGACACAACATTACTATTTAAAAATGTATTTATTGCTTTTCGAAGTATTCTTCGCGAAATTTGACACATTTGTCCATACGATGGAACCAATCATTGAAGCAACCATTCCATTCGGAAGTTGGGGTCTCCAAAATGGCCGTTTTGTAGGCGTCCACAGCTTCTTCAGGTGATGAAAATCTCTGTCCACGCAATTTATTCTTTGTTTTAGGGAAAGTATAGAAATCATAATGGCCTTAGGTCGGGGCTGTACGGCGGATGGTCTAATAATTCTATGTTTTCTTGCTCTAAAAACTCTTTTGTTCTGTGTGCGGTGTGAGAACTCGCATTGTCGTGATGGAGGATGATACGGCGGTTGCAGTTCTCTTTACGGAGTTCAGAAACGACCTGTGGCAAACAAATGCTAGCATACCATTCTGCATTAACCGTTCTTTGTCCCTCAAGAGGAATAGTCGTAACATGGCCGGTTTTGGAGACAAACGTGGCCACCATTTTTTTTGCAACACTCCGTGAACGAACAATTTTTGTTGACTTTAACTCATTTTCGAACACCCAAACTCGTGACTGGTTTTTTGTTTCGGGTTCGTACGCGTATATCCAAGATTCATCACCTGATACGATGTTGTATACAGCATTTGAGGATCCTGCGTGGAATCTTTCGAGAGTTCTGACGCACCAAGTAACGCGAGCCGCTTTTTGCTCTTCACAGAGCGAATGCGGTATCCATCGGGAAAACAACTTTTTTACACCTAATTGTTCATGCAAGATTATTTGTATTTGGCTCATGCCAATGTCTAAAGTTGCCTGAATTTCGCGGTATGTCACATGTCGGTCTTCCTCAATCAGCTTACGCACAGCATCAACGTTTTCTTGGGTGACTGCAGTTTTTGGACGACCTTGACGGGGATCATCACTGAGCTTGACACGTCCACGTTGAAATTCAGCAAACCAGCGATAAATTGTGGTTTTGGATGGGGCTTCATCACCAAATGCAGAAATCATCCGGTCAACACACTGTTTTTGTGTTAAACCACTTCGAAAGTCATAATAAATCATCGCTCTTGAATTTTCTCGAGTCAATTCCATTTTCTCAACAACTAAACAAGTTTGACAAAACCTTGTGACAAGACCGAGAATCTTTTTTTAAATAAATAAATGGTATTCGATTTTTAAAACCAAAGAGTTTTCAATTAAAAAGATTTTAATATGACAGGAACAGTGGAAATATTCCATTCCCGATACTTTTAGTGCAGCCTATGTATAAAGAGTCTGAGCAGGACTTAGAAGCAGGAAGGAAGCCCAGGTACTTTTGCAAGCAGTGGACTTTTGAACGAGCTCATACAGAAGAATATACGAGGAATACACTATATTGCTATGATTTTCTTTGTTTAGCGCATAGACAATCCAAATTTGAGAGATTGCTATCCGAGAGAGAGTTGTTGCAAATCTAACATATTTAAGAAAAAATAAAAAATATTTTTTGTTTCAGAGCAAAAAATGTGATAGAAAATTATAAAGCGAATGCAAGCCAGGTAAGTCTAATAATCATATTATTTTTAAAGATTTCAAAAGAAAAGAAAAACACACTCGTCTCATTTCCGAGTCGGTCACACTCTGGTATCACAAACTTACTCTAGTATCAGTGTGTTGTGGAGCAAAAAAGACGCTATGCTACTTCAATGTGGTTTATTAGGTATAAGTCTAGTTATCGAGATTATGTTATATATTCGATTGTCTTTGTTAACCACACAAAATCTTTCTAGTTATAAGAAATTTATGGAAAAAATGAAATTAACACTTTTGGCTAAAAGCAAAAAGGCTCGTGTAGTTTTGTAACTTTTTAGTAATAATGATCATTATTTATTTTAGCCTTTTAAAAAACTTACGCCTAGAGTAAAATTTTCTACTGTATCATGGAAGAGTTTCACATTCTTAAATTGCACTTGAATTAAAATTAGACGTTGAATAATAATTTGTAGACTATTCATTATGTTAATACGCGAGCCAAGTGTGACGATTATGGAAACCTATATAAAGAAGAAATAGAAAAAGCGGTGGAAAAATGTTAATTATTGGCGTCTCTTCGGAATTGAGAGAATGATGTAATAGTCACGCTTAGTGGCTCCATTACACATCAAACGAAATTAAGTATACATTAGTTTTATAATTTTTTAATTTTATATTTTCAGTATAGTCACACATGTACCACGTGTGGTTTCGGCACGGATATTGAGAAGGAGTTGGAAGAACATAGCTGTGAAACTTACAGTGAGCCCTATCACAATTCCGATTCTGATTGTTCAGTTCAATATGATGCTCATTCCGACGATGAATCTGAGGATAGCGATATTGACTCTAATATATCCCGAGAGGAGGAGGAAGTACAACAAGGGAATGACAATAAAAAGAAGCGTTGCTATGATCCACGTAAGTAATTTTATGAAAGTGAGCAACATGATAATCACCACGTCACATCAAAAACCCTTCAAAGTCCACAGCTGGATATAGGTCTCAAGAATAAGACCGCCACAGGACAGGCCTGACCTAGTGTGGGGTCATTAGTTAAATAATAAAGTAAGCCGTAACAACAGTGTATACTGCTGTTTTTTTTTTCTCTATTAATAAAAAATTCTGTAAAATTTTACCATGAAGGTGTGCATCCAAGGAAATAAAATTATTTGTATTTGTATTAAGAATGAGTCAGGTGGCAGGCAAGCATTACATGAAGGGTCAGAGTTTTAAGGGTGACAAACGAGCACATAGTCTACCTGATGTTAAGTGGATGCTGTGGCTCATACACATCTACATTTATCCTCATTTAAGAATCAAAATGTAGATGCGTTGTCACAGTACAATATACCTGCAGCACGGCTCTCCCATGTAAAATCACACGATAAACCACGTACATCGCGTGCGGGTGAAGTTTGTACACAGAGTACTGAATTGCCGCGTCGACCTACGGGTAACGCTGCGATTCTGTGCTTCTGTACTACAAGAACTAGAACCGAAATCTAAATGAGAACTGTTAAGCACTTTTATTTACATCGCTACAAGTTTTACAGTACGCGAGCACCCTGGGTGTGATCCCCGCTGGCACCAATGAAATTGTCAATTGCAATTTTAAGTGCTGATTTACCACGTGCTCGGCGGTGAAGAAAAACATTATGAAAAAACCGGCATGTCCTTGAAATTAAAAACAATATTTCGAAGGCATGTAAAGTCTGCCAACACGCACTAGGGCAGCGCGGCAGATATTTTGCTTGCACTAAAACCCCCTCAGAAATAACGATGATGGACGTACATATAGACTGTAATTTTACTTTACTTTAAATAAAACATATATAGAGTCAACTAGCTATCGAAGTGTGTTGGTATGATAAATGCGTTGTGTGGGTATTAAAGTTGGGTGCCTATTAAAGTGTCACTGGGTAGTATTGGCGTGTCGGGTGCAAAAGCTAGTTGACTATACATGTGCGAACCTAGTTCCTTTTAATCCTAACAGCCTTAGACCTAGCCTCAACAAACCTAATCTCGCAGATGCACGAGATCGCGGATAAGTTAAAGGTGTCTTGGCAACACTGATAAGTGTGCTACTCAATCTCTCAGGCATCGTTAGCATAAATTACTACTATATATTTTTATATTGTGTATGAGAAATTTATTTCTATAAGTTGTGTAAATACGAGTATGTGTGTATATATAAGTATACGTCTATGTATATACTTATTAATTATATTAATTAATATTTATTTATTACAGTTTATGGTATGTATTAGTTTTAGTTGTATAGTATGTATGCTTATATTGCACTACCTACCATGTAGCTCTTTTTACGCCTTTGGCTGCCTGAAAGAGATTACTGTGCAGCAAACAGCAATGAGGCCGCCAAATTCTAATTAACTTCATCTTGTGACAATGTTTCACGTGTAGTGGTGTAAACTCTGCTATAGTGATTTAATGTGATTGAATCGTTTATTATAACGGGTATAGTTAACGGTTTTCCATTTCTTTTTTCAGCAATAAAAGTTCAACGACTGCCTTTCAAAGTTAACAGCGCATCTCGTTATGTTACTGAAGCAGCTTTGGACGTGTAAGTTAATTTTATTATTTTCAATTAACGGGCACTGCCATAGTAGGGAAGTTTTGCTAAAATCGTCATAATTTACTAGATAATTTTAGGGTTTATTCATAGTTGACGAGCAACAACAGTTCGATCATCATTGCCATAATTGAAAAAATCGCAGCTATAAGTTTCTAATTACGTACTCAGCGGTGAAGGTAAACATCATGAGAATATCTGCATGTCTGAAAAACGAAAATACTACGAGTGTATGTAAAATTTGCTTGAAAAAAATATTGCTTTAAAGTTCGCCCTCTGAAAAAGCAAGCCTGTGCTTAGCAGCCAAGTATGTAGGCGGGTGGCATGCCCAAGTTTAGATAATACAGTAAGACAGTATCATTTTTGTAATATTATAAACCTCATTGGCATACGTTATGAATATGTACTATTTAAATGTAGCTCGGAGCATATCTTCCTTCTTTTCTCTTAAAGTAACTGAGTTGTCTGCCATGCTGCTCAACTGCAGGTCATTTTTTCGTGTTATCTGACTTTACACGATTTGTAAACATTTTTATTTAATAGATATGAACTAAAATCTCGCATAAAATTATATCTGTTTTGTTCAGAATTCATCTACTCAGTCTATACTTATATTATGTACTAGACCCTCGAGACTTCGTCCGCGTGGAACTTACTACAGACAGACAAAATTTTTTGTTATGTTTTTTTGTTATTAGTACCGTATATACTTTCATATGCATTTAGTAAAAAGCTATTATTTTAACATTATGAACAGACACTTCGATTTTATTTATTTGTATAGATAAAGTCGTTAAAATAAATATAATAATATGTGAAGTTGACATTTATTTAATGAGTTCTGGAATCAGTAGCAAACTACAGTAAAATCCGTGCTTCTATTTCCATACTAATTGCTATATAAACAATACTTCTGTTGTTTAATTTAGCATTTGGCGTAGGGTAGAAGGGTGCGTATACGCCAAGACGAAGCAATACCGTAAGCCATCAAGTGCGAGCGAGATAGCTGACAATGTTTTATAACCTCGAGCCTTGGCGCTTAAAAAAGTTAACCTTTAGTCACAGATATTCTATGCAGTACATCTATTATTTATTCTAGAAGCGAACATTTAAATGTCTATTTTGTTGTTTGCATTAAGTTTCTATTTAAATTTTCAGTATTTTAGTAAGATATCCCGCTAAAATACCGCCACTGTATTTAGACTATCACTTAATTTAGTTTTTTTTTTGAATACTTTGCAGTTTTAATACACACTTCACACATGAAGTACTATTTCCTGAATGGAAAGTCAGTGAATATAACGAAGTACCTTCAGAAGATTTACCAAAATATTTGCCGCCTTTAGAGCAGTCGTGTCAAGTGAATGTTGCAAATGAAGGTTGGACAATATACAAACGATTTGAAGCAAGAAAAGGAAAAGGTACAAATTATATTATTAATAAAATAAAATCGACATAATATAATATATAAGAAGAAATATAGTATATATCCAACCAGATGTGGAAACAATAAATATATTATATAAGATTATTACTTACAACTTTGTACAACCGACTTCAATATAAATTATTAAGAATAACTTATAAATTGTTGGTCAGATCTTGATCAAATTTATATGGGACCACATGTGAAGCACCAGCTTTCAAATAAAAAAAAAGAATAATCGAAATTGGTTCACGCTGTACACTTAAAAAAAAGCATACAGTCGAATTGAGTACAGTCTCCTTTTTGAAGTCGGTAGAAAAATCAAACTAATGTACTTAAAAAAATTTAAAATTATTTATTCATGTTAAGTTACTAATGTTGTGACAGCATTTTGTTATATTTTTCTTAAAATAGGTCAAATGATTATATAATTTTATTACATTTATATAATTGGTGGCGTGTTATTACACTTTAAATAGAGTGCGGTTGTTAGTAAACCCAATCTCATTTTTGTCCTCCGCGCAGTGTACGTTAAAATAGTATTAAAGACTGAGGAGCATTTTCGCTACAGTTTGTCATCATACTTCCCCATGATGTTGGTACATGTTTTCATGAATTCAGAACGAACATTAACTTATTTGTGTCGCAAAAAGTTGTCCAATTTAAGCAAAATTATATCAAAATATTATATAGTTGTATAAATAATAGAGAGCAGTATAAGATGTGTAACGTAATGCAAAAATCCTCCAGTTTTGGGTTGTGTTTGGGCAAAGGGAATCGAAGTGGCATTGGTAGCGATTTTTTTTGCATATTTACGCTACTTATTTCACTGCTTACTTCTCTGGCTATTTCTGCGGAAGTAAAGGGAAAATTTATACCTCATAATTTAAAAACAAGAGTATACAATCAGTGCATGACCAGTGCGTGCTGCCAGTGATGACACGTGGTTATTCTATAGAGGGGTTTGCTCAAAGTTTTTCTGCGTGATAAAATTCATATTTACTGGGCCGGCCCTATTGTTCGAAGAACCGACAACCGACGGGGATGAATAGTTTCGAGTATGCAACCTCGTACCAGTAAGGGAATTATAGGGCGGTCTCTAATTGTCGAATTCGAACCGTGTTTTGTTGCAAACGTAGGCCTATGTTTGTGCAGTATTTGACTTGTGAAGAGAGCAGTTACAGTTTATAATCACTTTACTTTTTTCCAATTGAGTGCATTCGATATCAAATTCTAAGTTTGCCACTCAATATCCGAATTTTACGTAGACAGTGATAATGTAAATATTGTCTTTTGAAGTAGTATTTTAGTGTGTAAATAGGGCAATGCGAGGCGCTTACTACTTGAGTATATGTATAAGTCCATTATGTGGAGGTTTGTTGTGTCAGTTTGCAGCGTGTTCGTGGGCGCGAGCATACGTTGCGTGGCGTGGGCGCCGGTGCGGGCGGAGGGGGCGGGTGCGGCGGGCGCGGCGGACGAGCGCGGCGACTACCTGGCGCTGGGCTGCCACCGCGGGCCCGACGCGCCCAGGCTCAACGCCGCACACGTCGCGCACCACGCCGGTATGCTGCAGATCTGGAACTTCGCAGATTTCACACGGTAACTCAATCACTTGCTACGTTCTCTTTTTCCTGCATACCTTGCCAACTACTGGACATGGGCTTCTTCTGTACTGGCCATATTTCCTAAACGTAGTACATAATTGCTAATATTTGTCATCATTCCGGTTTTTTTTATCCTTCTTTTATAAATAATGACATACCACGTACAGTTATATAAATTATATAGTGTAATTTTTTTAATTATTATTTAAATTTATTTATATTTTTGTAGTGTTAAAACACTTACTTCTTCATTGTTTTTAGCCGACTTTAAAAAGGAAGAGGTTCTAAATTTAACTGTAATATGTTTTTTTGTATGTATGTTACGCGATATCTTCCTCAATTGTTAACCAATTTTAATAATTAGCTTTTCATAAAATACTTTACTTCTGGGGGGATTCCATAAAGAAAAATTTCACTCTTTTGGGTGGAAAATAAGGGATGAAGTTTTTAATGTAATTATTTAGTCCAAATTCTAGTTTTCTTGATGTTAGTCCACTCAAAAAGGTAAATAATCAAACTTCTAATGAAAAATAAAGCCGACTTCAGAAAAATAAAATAATTATCACAGAATAGTTTTAGTAGGAGCTTTAATTCTTCTATATTACTGTCATAGCACCTTTTGTTTATTTGCTTTTATATGTTATTATTTGTTATATTTTTCTATCCAATTTAAAAACTAGAGTGAGTTGAACAAAATACTATTTTTGTTCAACACACTCTAGTTATTATGTTGTCATCACGTGTATTAAGCGCAAATCAAGCTTAGAAAAATCCGTTACTTAAAATTATGTCACTACCACTTCTCTAGTCCCACATCCTGAAGACACCAAGCCTTCAGGTAAAAGTCATCGAAGGAGGTACCGCATATAAATACAATGCCTGTGTCATGACAAGATATAAAAGTTGAAAACACTTACGACACACCCAAAATACTGACCGCTGCAGGCAGAATAAAATGAGAACAAGACTCAACATTGATGGTGAAACTCTGCATGATAAAATATAAGCTTAAGCTTAAGGCCGTTTCTGTGTTCCTTCAAAGAAAACACTGGAGCTGTCGACTAGGGCAAACCCGGGCCTGGAGGTGAAAGCTTTTATAATCAAATGACCTTCTTGATGGATTAATCCGACTTATGCAGTTATGCACTTGCGAATTAAAATGTTTGTGTGTGTGAAATTTTTCATATGTGATAATATAATGTTCAAATATTTTTTATATAAAAATTAATAATTTATATATTTTAATTCTTCTTATTGTAATTTATAAATAAGCAAGAAGATGTATGTTTATTTTCAGATTACCTAAGTTTGTGCTTGGCGTAGTTCATGATTATGGCACAGTGTGGGCAATGGACTGGTGTCCATCTGGAGCGCGCGATTTATCACCTAGCATCGACGGTCAAGCAAAGAATTCTGCGAGATTAGGCTTGTTGGCTATAGCCTGTTCAAATGGTTCTGCATATATACTCGTTGTTCCATATCCAACCAATGAAAACACAGAGTGAGTATTCAAATTTACGTAATAAGATCACATAAATGCTAAACAATAATTTTGGTGATAACATACAATATTGAAATTTAAATGGTTAAGCTTTTAGATTAATAAAAGCCCACATTGTATTCTGAATGAAAGACAGATGCTGGCAAATTATTCCGCTCCATTGCTATATATATGTATATATGCATTAGGAAAGACGAAGGTGTTTGGTTCTAAAATCTAGTATAGCGACAAAAGAGTTGAAGACTGGCGTTTGATTTCTTGTCCGATGGAAAGAGAGGGGGAAGGAATTAGGTTATGCAATTTCTGTACACACTCTCTGAAATGAATCTTGTAGAACATCGAGAGGCAGGCCATTTTGCGCCTGTTCTCGGGACTTGCAAGATTGTCTTTAACCAGATTGAGGTCACCAATAAAGCTCTTTGCACACCTTGCCATTGAGTCTAAAGATGCGAGTCTGTTGTTCATATATAGCAGCAATACTCCTTGCGTGATGGGACTTGCGTGTTTTATATAGAGTAAGCACCCGTCCCAGTGTGATGAAGTACCGCCGCATTTTTGCAAGCGCATGGGGCCGGATGGAGACAGATGAACTTTATATATAATATATAATTTCTTAGTTCTACCAAAAACTACTTGATTGCATTCTAATTATTGATTACTTTATTATTATAAAAAATAATGTAAAAATATTTTTTTGCTTTAAAGGGAAGCGCAAATTATTAGAATTAAACCTGTAGCGGAGCTTAGGTTGTGCAGTAGCAAAGACAGGAAAAAATACCAAGCAACTGCTATTTCTTGGTCGCAGGTGAGAGACATGCTTAATTTTCTATAACATTAAAATCATCGTTTTATATATTTTTGTATTGATTGGTTATTTTTCATATTTCAGCAAAAGGGTCATACAGTGATTCTGGTGGCTTACGCGGATGGTACTACTGCTTTCTATGACTTGGCTTGCGATTCTCCCCTATTGAGAACCATAGAAGATGGCGTTACAATTTTGTATCCTTACCAAGATGAACGGCCACATAACACTTGTGTGTTAGGTATGTGCATTTACAATTACATTTAAACTAGTCACAGAAAAATACTTTTTTTTGTTTAATTTACCATTGGTTCGGAAAATATCTCTGTCCTGGGAAGAACCAGCAAGAAACCCATCTGTAGAGATCATGATACTTGGCGATTTTAACGCCCACCACGCCGAATAGCTCAGTTCACGTTTAACCGATCATGCGGGGAGATCTGTGTATGGCTTTGCCTTGGCGTATGCTCTGATCCGTCCAAGTACAGGCCTATCGCCATCACCTCCTTGTTCTGGAAAATAATGGAGTCCATTATTAACTGCCAGCTCATGCAGTATCTTTGGCTTCAGCTATCAGAGGCTTTGGCGGTTAGTTCGGACATAGCGAAGGCCTTCGATCGGGTTTGGCACAAAGCGCTTCTTTCAAAGCTTCCTTCCTATGGGTTTCCCGAGAAATTGTGCAATTGGATCACCAGTTTCTGGTTGATCGGTGCATCAAGGCCGTAGTAGACGATACGTGCTCCGATTACAAGCTAATAGGCTGGTGTTCCACAAGGCTGCGTGCTATAACCAACACTGTTTCTTCTGCATATCAATGATATCTTGCAAACCGGTAACATTAATTGCTATACAGACGACAGCACTGGTGATGCTTTATACACCGGCCGTGCAAATATTTCTCGGGAAAACGTCGACGAGTACCGGAACAAACTTGTGTCTGGAGTCGAGACTTTGTTGAACAAAGTCTTGGATTGGGGTGACTAAACCTAGTCCAGTTCAACCTCTAGAAGACACAAGTATGCGCGTTTACCGCTTAAAAGAACCCCTTTGTCGTATCTCCTCAGTTTCAAGGCACTCCACTTGTTGCCTTAGCCAGTATCGGAATCCTCGGCGTCGACATATCGAGTGACGTGAAGTTTCGTAGTTATTTGGAAGAGAAGGCCAAATTTTCCTCTAAAAAGTTTGACGTGCTCAGTAGAGTGTTTGCAACTTTACAAGGCGCGGGTTTGACCGCACATGGAATACTTACTGTTCCTATCTCTGGGCTGGGGCCAGTGCCAGCTCATTCCATTTGATCGCATCCAGCGCAGAGCGGTCTGAATCATCGGCGACCGAGCTCTTTCTGATGGGCTTGACTCACTGGCGCTGCGAAGAGAAGTTGCATCTCTCTATGTAATCTATCGTATCTACCATGGGGACTGCTCAGAGAAACTGTTCGGACTAATTCCAGCCGCTCTATTTCACCATCGCACATCACGGCAGAACTCGAGATACCATCCATATCATCTGAATGATTGGCGGTCCACTACTGTGCAATTTACAAGAGGTTTTCTTCCTCGCACAACTTCTTGTGGAATCGAACACCACCCGCATTTTTTCCGGTCCGATGCGATTTATGCTGTGTGCTATCACCGACGCTGTTTCTTCTGCATATCAATGATATGTTGCTAACTTGTAACATTCATTGCTATGCGGATGACAGCACTGGTGATGCTCTATACACCGGCCGGGCCAATATTTCTCGGGAAAACGTCGCCGAGTACCGGAACAAACTTGTGTCTGAAGTCGAGTCTTTGCTGGACAAAGTCTCGGATTGGGGGCGACTAAATCTAGTCCAGTTTAATCCTCAGAAGACACAAGTTTGCGCGTTTACCGCTAAAAAGAACCCCTTTGTCGTATCTCCTCAGTTTCAAGGCACTCTCCTTCTTGCCTCAGCCAGTATCGGTATCCTCGGAGTCGACATATCGAGTGACGTGCAGTTTCGTGGTCACTTGGAAGAGAAGGCCAAATTTTCCTCTAAAAAGCTTGGCGTACTCAGCAGAGCGGGACAGTATTTCATGCCGGCACACCGCCTGCAACTTTACAAGGCGCAGGTTCGGCCTGACATGGAATACTGTTCCCATCTCTGGGCAGGGGCTCCCCAGTGCCAGCTCCTTCCACTTGACCGCATCCAGCGCAGAGCGGCTCGAATCGTCGACGACCGAGCCCTTTCCGATCGGCTCGATTCATTGGCACTGCGAAGAGATGTTGCATCTCTTTGCATTTTCTTTCGCATCTACCATGGGGAGTGCTCTGAGGAATTGTTCGGATTAATCCCAGCCGCCAAATTTCATGAACGCACATCGCGGCAGAACTCCCGATACCATCCACATCATCTGGATGATTGGCGATCCACCACTGTGCGATTTAGAAGATGTTTTCTTCCTCGCACGACTTCCTTGTGGAATAGTTTACCATCAGCGATTTTTCCGGACCGATACGACTTAGGTACCTTCAAGAAAAGAGACTACTCTTTTTTAAAAGGTCGGCAACGCATCTGCAATTCCGCTGGTGTTGCAGTTGTTCATGGGCGGCGGTAGTCACTTACCATCTCATATAAAAAATCCCTTAGGGATATATTATAGTTAGTTATACTAATCATTTAAGGTGAAAACTGTGTTTCCATCCGATAACAATGTGGGTGTCTTCAAGGCAAGAGTGAATATGCTTTTGTTAAATCAGTGCGCTTCACCACTTTAGTTCACACACTACATCACCACTAACCAACCATCAGGTGGGATTGTAGTTAAGCTCTGGCTTCATCATCATTCACAGGCCTCCCCCAAGGAATGCCACAAAGCACGGTCCTGAGTCACCTGCATCCATCGACTTCCTGCATATCTTACCAGGTCGTCACTCCATCTAGTGGGGGGACGCCCTACACTTCGTCCGCCGGTACGAGGCCGCCACTCGAGAATCATTTTTCCCCATCGGTTGTCGGTTCTTCGAGCTATATGGCCGGCCTATTGCCACTTCAGCATACTAATTCTTTGGGATATGTCGGTTACTATGGTTCTACTGCGGATATCCTAGTTTTTAAGTCTATCACGCAGAGAAACGCCGAGCATAGCCCTCACCATAGCTCGCTGAGCGACTTTAAGCTTTCTCATACGGCCAGCAGTGAAGGACCACGTCTCAGTTCCAAAGGCCATCACTGGCAACACGCACTAGTTGTACAGTCTCTTTTTCAAGTTTTGAGGTATACCTGACGAGAAGATGTGCCGTAATTTCCCGAACGTTGCCCAATCGAGTTGAATTCGACGATTGACCTCTCGGTCGAAGGTGGACTTACCTAGTCGGACTATTTGTCCTAGGTAAACATACTCGTCAACAACTTCGAGCTTAGTGCTCCCAACAACTACCGGCCTACACCTATGTGTGACATGGACATTAAACATGATCTTTGTTTTGTCCATGTTCATCTTAAGACCTATTCTTTGGGAAACACTATTGAGGTCATTGAGCATAGTGCTTAGGTCCTCCAGCGATTCTGCCATAAGGACTATATCGTCGGCAAATCGAAGGTGAGTGATGTACTCGCCATTGATGTTTATACCGCATCCTTTCCAGTCCAGACGCTTGAAAACGTCTTCCAATGCAGCGGTGAAGAGTTTCGGGGATATAACGTCACCCTGTCTTACACCTCTCTGCAATTGGATAGGTTTCGTACTCTTATTCTGTACTCGGATAGCCATCGTAGCCCTACTATACAAGCACTTCAACACTTCGATATACCGACAGTCAACTTGGCACCGCTGAAGGGACTGCAGCACCGCTCAAATTTCGACGGAATCAAAGGCTTTCTCATAGTCCACATACGCCGGACATAGTGGCAAATTGTACTCCTCGGACTTCTGTACAATTTTCCGAAGGGTATGTATGTGGTCTATGGTGCCAAAGCCTTTTCGGAAACCGGCTTGATCGGCAGGCTGAAAGTCGTCAAGTCTGCGCGCGAGACGATTCGTAATGACTCTCGAAAACAGCACGTAGACGCGGCTCAGAAGGGAAATCGGTCTGTAGTTCTTCAAGAGAGCGTTGTCACCTTTCTTGAAGAATAAGACCACCGCACTTCTGCTCCACGCCTCCGGTGTAGTGCCACCATGGAGGAAGGAATTAAAGAGCTTCTGAAGGACTTCAAGTACCGGTTTTCCACCCGCTTTTAGAAGCTTCGCTGTAATTCCATCCTCGCCTGGGGACTTGCCGTTTTTAAGGTGCTGGAGAGCCATTCTAATCTCGCTCAGACTGACGTCCGGCATATCATCGGAATAGTGTCGGATAAGACTCGTTCTTGGATTGTTACTTACGTGTGGCTCCAACGATGATGTGTACAGCTGCCCATAGAACCTCCCAATCGCACTCAAAATCTCAAGTGTCCCGGAAACGACGCTGCCACACTCGGTCTTCAGCTTCGACAATTGGCTCTTTCTGGCAGACAGATCTCTAGCAAAGACTTTGGAGCCCTGGTTCTGCTTTTTTAATATGAGCAGTATTAAAGTTGCGCAAGTCCCGCCGCATGCATTTGGAGATCTGTCTGTTCAGTTGCCTGTATGCTGTCAAATCTACTGAAGACTGCAGCTTTATATCCCATCTAACAGCCATGGGATTAAGAGTGTGATCGGAGAGTTTTTGTGTTCTTCTGCGGCGGGTCTTGCAAAAATTAGCTCCGACCACATGGACAGTTTCCACAAGCTTGTCATTAATATCGTCCACTGCATTGCAATCTTTTAAGCACTGAAAACGGTTTCGTAGCTCGAGCTGAAAGGTTTCGGGACTTTGGATTAGAGCACGAGGCGGACGGAACGTTGACTTCATTAGACGTGACCTCTCCAACTTAACGTTTAGGTTCAGTGTGCCTCTCACCATTCGGTGATCGCTGCCGGTTTTCACCCTCGCGATCACTGAGACATCACTGAACAGTTGTCGTCTGGTCGTCATAATGAAGTCAATCTCATTTTTTGTCGAACCGTCGGGGTTCGACCAGGTCCACTTCCTGTCGGGCCGCTTCTGGAAGAAAGAGTTCATCATAAAGAGTCGCTCTTTCTCCATGAAGTCGGCCAGCTGCTGGCCCCTTGGGTTCCGTTGCCCTATTCCGAAATTCCCTACTTTCAGCTCACCGTTCTCTCTCGTGCCTAGTTTTGCGTTGAAGTCTCCCATTAACACCGTATAGTGGGTCTTGGAGGAATGCATGGCTCTAGAGATATC